ATTAGCTACTAATTTACAATAATGTACTGCGAGCCAACTTACTTGATTAGTATGAGAGGCGGTTAAGATTAAGAAGTTATCCCGTGAGCAATATGATTTAATAAAATGCGTTAATTTGTATACTAAGTAAGGGCGGGTAAACATAACTTTTTAAGGTACATAGTAAAATAATTTAAAGGAAATATTAAATAGATTAAAACAATTTAAACTTATACGAGGAACAAAATTTGTACTTCTTGAGTAAATGTGTAAATTATTAGGCAGAGCACGGACTGCGAGTGTTATTAATTCACATTTAAAGTTTTATCCGGTAAAAAAGGGTCACGCGCCCAATTTTTGCCATCTTGATAATTAAAAGAAAACATAGCCAGTGCCACTTGTGATGATGTAACAATTCTAACGATATCCTGGAACGGTTAGGTTATTTGGGTTGAATTATAACTCTATTGTGAAATAAAGAAACACTTAAATTCAAAAAATTTAAACCATCTACTTTTAACACTAAAATTATGTTGTTTTTAAATATTCATTTTACAATGGTACCAATGTCAAATTACCTTTGGTAACATGGTCCGTAACAATGTTAGATGAACATTTTTAAGTTACACTGCCAAGGTTTTTAATCTAATAAATTATTGTGGCTCTGAACCGGGAACTTTGTATTAATTAAAGTATTTAAATAATGTGATTATCTTGCTGAGAATTAAAGAAATTAACTGTCACTAATTTACAACAACGAAAACAGCTCACGAAATTACATTGACGGCAGTGACAACGTAGGTCAGCGCGCGTGGTCCTCAGAAAGAAAGGGGATATGGGAAAATAACTTCTCAAAACACTTACAAGTATATAGCCACACCGCGGCGTATTTGATTCTTAATCGGGCCGGCATAGTCGGTTCGGCAGTATTTGTCGAACGAACAACAAAGCCGACCCGAAATAATTACTGCCGAACATCCATCTACTTATATTCGATTTTTCCGCCCGGCTGTGCCGATGAATGCCGCTTACCACTTATGAGTGTAACTACCCTTACAAATCGCGCAAAAAGTTCTAGTCCGCTTTGAGATTGCTTCGCGCAGGTCTTATACTTAATCTTCGTTCCTCTATAGTTAAATGTTCAGCGCATGATGAGACCATCTTTAATTAGAGTCATCATCATCATCAGCCTATTAATGTCCCCACTGCTGGGGCACAGGCCTTCCCTATAGATGGAATAGGGAGATTGGGCCATGACCCACCACGCGGGCCCAGTGCGGATTGGCGGGTGCTAACGACTGCAGATGCAGCCGGGACCAACGGCTTAACGTGCCTTCCGAAGCACGGAGGAGCTCCAGATAGTAAATTTTTGGTCACCCATCCAATGACCGACCACTGCGAAAGTTGCTTAACTTCAACAATCGCAGCCGAACGCGTTAACCACTTGCGCCATCGAGCTCCTCCACTGTCATACTATATCCTAATAATTAAGCGAATGTTTTAGTCCATTTGTATTAATATAGCTCTCTTGATGGTCCACAAATAAATAAATAAATAGGTAAATATAATTGTCTTTTATTAATGTGACGTAAATTGTGAAGTGTTCAGATTTAAAGCGGACTAGAAGATTGACGTGATCTAGTCTCTAACTAAATCGCCAATGATGCGGGTAGCGGGTCGCTGCACAGAGCACTACTCCTATAGAAGCCATCACTTGTAATTTAATAAGTAATAAATCACATTGTTTCACTGTTTCTCAATTTATTCGATTTGTTGCCCAGGGAGTAGAATAAGCACTAGGAATACAGGCCTAAAGCATTATTATGTAGATTACATCTATTGTGTCACAGACCCATGTCACAAAGATTTGGGAAAATGATACGACAATTGTGCTGGTCGGATAACACGCCCGGAGTAGGTATTGGCACTCTCAGTGTCGGTTTTTTTTCTATACAATCCATATTTAATTTATGTTACTTCAAAGACCAGAAATCCTCAATGAGCGATTTTTTATACAACACGTTAACATCCACATGGCGAAATTCGTGTTAAGGTGCTGTCCGATGGCCTGTGTTGTCGCGGGCGCGTTCGGCCGCGCAGGGTTGTCAAATGTTTGAGATTTAGCAGTCTCTATACACGATACAAGGTAAATAGAAAACGGCCGCGCCCGCGACAACACAGGCCCTTGGACAGCACCTTTATAGCTGTAATGATAACTTTCACGAAGCATTGTGGCAATCACAGAAAAACCACATGGCGAAATTCGTGCCGTGGCTGACGTGCTCAGCGACCCTAACGCGTTTAGGTAACAAAGAAAAGCAATGACGCGTTTTGTATGAGTACAATAATATAATAAAAGCTCGTTATAATAATAGTAATGATATAATAATAGCTCGTTTTTTTATTAAAAAGTTTGATTATATCACGTTCAATTGAGCGTTTGACAATTCATAATTTGACAATTGTCAAATTATTAAAGAGTTTGATAGTTAGACGCGAGTGATATAACGTTTAATGTGTAAATTTTTATATTATACTTAATATTAACATATACTTACATTATGGACTGATTTTATTTTTTACAGCACAAACTACTGCATTAATTACCAGTCTGTATGGCATTTGTTAGTTACAGGGTAAATAATATTTACATATCTCAAAGCACTGTGCATTGTAAGCAAATGTGGTTCCATACGCGTCATGGTTTTTCATTATTGCCGCAAAGCATAGAGATCGAATAGCATGTCAGCCACGACATGAATTTCGCTCTGTGGTCTTTCTGAGATAACCTCAACGCGTCAAGACCGTTTTCATTAGAGCCATAATATGAATTTCGCTATGTGGATGTTTAACTTTGACCACAACGCGCTGTGAGCTCTTATAAAGGTACAATTCGGCAATGGGCTGCAGGCGACAACCGCAGGCAACACTGCGGCTAGCGCCTGCGGCTAACCGTGCATTATATGTATTGTGCAGCCGCGGCATGTCGCCGAGCTCGGAATCAATTTCATAGAGATTCATAGAAACTAGCAGTGTCGCCTGCAGTCTGCCAGCCTGTGGTTTGCGGTTCAGTTCGGACTTGTACCTTATTCGCTCAATGAGCGACTTCAGCAACGTTTATAACAAATTCAAAATGTTGAACAAAGGGCCAATTTTAGTGATGCATAAAAACATTGGCCTGCAACAGTGTTTTTAAGATTTCCATTGATCTCTCAATATTCATAGGCTCTTACAGTCATGCTATGTAAGGCTGGCTTGCAACTATTATTTTAAACTTACCAAAGAAAGATATGAAAGGGAAATGGATACGGGCAGGGTGAGAAGTTGGAAGGAGTTTTGTAGCAAGCAAGAGAGGGAAACGACGTGGGAGGGGATTTACAGGGTAATCGGCAGATCAAGAATTCAGGCAGAAGATCTGCCTATTGTGAGGGCGGGCATCACCACCAGCCCAAAGGAATCGGCACGCATTATTTCTGAGACTTTCTACCAAGAGAATGCCGAAATCGGGGACAGTGAAGTCCACAAAGCAGTGAGATCCAGGGCAGCCCAAGCAAATGAGGGGGACGAACATGATGTTTGAGACCCCCCATTTGTAGAGGCCGAACTGGTTCACGCAATGGACTCATTCAACCCGAAGAAGGCACCGGGTAAGGAGGGCTTCACAGCGGACATATGTGTGGCAACCATTAAAGCAGAACCTAAAGTGGCCCTCGCATTATACAATAAGTGCCTGACCCTGACCCACTTCCCACGTCCATGGGAGGAAGCCACAGTAACCCTATTAAGAAAACCTGGAAAGGAAGCTTATCAGCAGCCCAAGTCGTAAGCCAAGATGTCAAATAAGAAAGATGAACGAAAAAGTTTGTAAAATAGTATTAAGGAAGTTAAACTATAAAATAGACTAATAAGATATTTAAACAAAACACAGGACGAAATGAAATAAGACATTATATATATAGATTATGAGCAAAATGTATAATGTTTAAAAAAACAGAGTTCAAAAAAGAAAGTGAATATATATATAATGCGGTGCAAAAAAATGAGCACCCAGTGAGAGAGAAATCAAAAAAAATAGAAGCCAAAACGAAAAGAAAGGAAAAAGTCCTGTTACAAAACGGGGTTAGTAGATAAAAAAATAACAAAAAAATACTATTATTTACTTAAATTATCGTCATTATCTGATGACGTTTTAAGCATGTAATATAATTAATTATACTATATCTACCTCACTGTAACATTGATACCATGGTAGTTAGCATCGAAATACTTTACAGATCACGAATACTGAATACTGATCCAATAAAATAAAGAGACTTAGCGAACTGCACTCGTCTTTGAGTTTTATTGTTTACTATTATGTCAGCACTTCACTTTGCTAATTGTAAACTTAACATCAGTCTGTCCTTGTCATGTCAAAGCATGATAAAGACAGATTGTCGTCGAGTTGTCGATTAACAAATACTAATACCGGCATTAGGTGAAGCTCACAAAATAATGTTAACAAACAGTTTAAAATACTCTTGGATTAATACTGCTAAAAAATTTACAGAAGATATGTTGTAATTATGCTATCTAATCTACTGCCGAGAGAATTATGGCATTCTATAGAACATGTCACTACTTTCCACTCATGAACCCAGTAATTTTAATAAGAATATGATAATATAAGCATTTTTAAGCAGTCAGCTACAGGTTTGCATATTTTTAATAAGGTAATAACGGATAGTGAAACTATTACATCCGTGGCTGTATGTACATACATTCTTTTCCTTCGTTGCAAGTAATATAAAAAAAAGCCCTTAGAAACATTAAATTACGAAACAGGAAGTCAGTGCAGCATTCATTTCTTAAAGTAAATTGTGCTTTTACATAAATAATCACAATACGAAACCTTAATTCAAAAGCATTTTTTTGAGGAACATTTTATTATTGCGCAATTTAGGCGAAATCATTCTCCTTTAAACTGGTATCCTACAGATAACAATCTACTATGATGTAATGAATTGTTGTTTTTATTCCAGAAACCGTTCGCCTATCAGCACAAGTGGCATAGAGTATAGAAGGCCCGACAGGAGTGTGAGCTGGGGCGCGGGCGGTGCGCGGATACATACTCCGATGTTGGAGCCGCTGGCCGACAACTCCAACCGGAGGCAATATGGCATGGGAATCGTGGGAAGATTTCTGAGGTAAGTAATTATACTAATGATATCTTTCCGCTACCTCAAAATAAAAGCCTGAAGGATGGCTACCTTTGTGGCGGCATAAGAAAAACTGCCTTTAATTTGTTTAACTTTCTTAAAGTCGTGAATTCTGTGTAACTGTCTTTAATGGCGGATCCACACTTGTACCGCAACAAACAAGTGGTTACCGCGGTGGTGACGCGCGTTCGCGTGTCGGTATTTTGTTCTGCGACAAATGCGCTCTATGTGTACACGTCGCAACTTAGTTGGGTCCAACTGCCCGGCTACTGCCAAAGTGGGATGTATGTAGTACAAACGTCCCTTTTCAGTTCGGCCCCAACATTATTATTATTATTATTGATCGTAACTAGTCGGGCACCCAATCACACAACCATCACGCACTTTCACATGCCAGAGGAAAGAGTATGGAGCACACAAGGCTGACAGTCGGACACTTTTGGTAGGGGTAAGTTTGCCAGATAAAGAATTTGAAAATACGATAATGGTGCAAAAAAAAATCTTTTATTTTTTACAAATAAGGCATTAACCAGTAATTTTAATTGTTTATTAAAAAAAACTAAGAATTTCACAAATGAAATAGTGCAATTAAATAGTTATTAATATTGTGGACTATCAGACCGTTTGCCAGCATAAACATGGAAAAATTGCCGGAGCATACAAAGCCATTGCAGCAGCAACTTCCACGTCCATTTCGCGGCACGTTTCTCTCATGATCACATAATCACCGGCGAATGTAAAGTGTCACCATTACTGCCGCGATTTCATGGCGTTCATTCAAACCATAATTTCATGGCGCTAGTGTGTCGGCATGATCGTACTCAAAACATTTTATAATTTCTAGCATTTTAAAAGTGTTTAAAAAGAGGAGGTCTGTTACACAATTATAGAGATATCGATGAACCTTAGTTGAAATGTCTTTTATTTTGAGTTTCAAGGTGGTCCTAAAAATTTGGTAAAATCTTATGACTACCTTAAGAGACTTCAAAAAAGAAACATGTCTAGACCGATTCTAGTATAATAAATAAATAGTAATAATAAATAATGACCTACATGATGGTGATTATTTATTTATTTGTTATGTTGTTAACTATTATGATATTTCTAGGGATCAAGCTTTTGTACCTCAATTTGTTTTATTTCGATTGTATCTTCCTTCATAGAGTCATTACTTTATCAATAACTAATCTTATCTTATCATCATCATCATTATAGTCTATTAATGTCCTCATTTCTGGGGCACAGTCCTTCCATATGGATGGAATAGAGTGATTGAGCCATGACCCACCACGCGGGCCCAGTGCATATCGGTGAGAACTAACCACTGCAGATGCAGCTAGGACTGAATGCTTAACGTGCCTTCCGAGGCACGGGGGAACCTGATAAAGTAACTTCTTGGTCACCCATCTGATGACCGAGTGCTACGAAAGTACCTTACTTCAACGATCGCAGCAGAACGCGCTACTCACTTGCCCTATCGAGCTCCCCTTATACTGTCCCATATATTACAAAACACTAAATCATAATAAGACTTTCTGAATTGCGTTTCTACGTTCAGAAGTTAACAATGGAACCACGTCTAAACGTCACGTCGTTTAAATTTTAAATCTTGTATTAGAGTAATGGAGCCTTTCAAGTGTTTATATGGATGAATTTTAACGCGCATTTCAATAAACTCATGACTCAGTATTTATACTTGAGACCTGCAATAAGAATAACATGTATCAGAGTACTTAGAAACTCTACTCCTAACGGAGTGAAAAGGGAAAGGGTAGTAAATAAATAAAGGGCTGGAAGAATTTGGATAAAATTTGGCACACATATAGTTTATTACCTGAATTGAGACAAATAATAATTGGCATTGTTCAAAATTGTTAGTTTTCTGAGAAATTATCAAAAAACTTAAATTAATAAACGTGGACGTCGGTGGCCGCTAGTTCTGTATGAAGTGCAAGTATAGGGTCAGCGACTTAATTTCGAATACAGAACGTTGCATTAAAGTATTTCTGCAAAGTGTTCCGTTAAATAAGTTTTACCCCAACTGTACTACTTAACGGAATGAACTCTACACTACAAAACATAAATTAAAATGTAAATTAAAATTTAACCAAGCTGAAAAATGTTTCCCTTCATAAAATCTGAATACGTCTAAAGTTAGATTCATATTAATTAAACGAAATTAACTAAAGTAAAAATATGCAAGGGATTGGTATATGAATATGAATGAAAACAATAACAACATTTTTTTATTTTATTGGATTCATGTTATGTACTCAGTGTGCTGAAAACAAATAAAGTTTTGTTTTAAATAGTATGTTTTACGTTGTACACACTTTATATTAAAACTGTATGACGCAGCGTACAATGCGTGTCAGAGATATGGACCTTACGTGATATCGAAGAGGAAAAGAATGGTTGTCTGTAAAGTCGGTTTATGTATGATATTTTTACTTTAACGTATCGTTTGCTGTATTCCTCGGGGCAGTTATATGGGGCTTTCTGTTCCGGTTCGTTTGAGATTAAAACCGCCTCTATAGCTTTTATAGGGGCCCGAGTTGGGCTCCGCGGTGATAAAGTACTCATCGAGGGGTGTCAGAGGGTCGGAGGAACCCTTCGACCTCATCACAGACACGGTGTGTCTGAATGTGAGGTACGTTTAACTAGTGTGACATGACGTCAATAACGTGACTCGTGACATGAAGTCACACTTTTTCGTGCGTGCAGCCGGTGTTCATGGTTTAATTAGACGTTATCACGTCAAAAGGTAGACGCTCTCGAATTGTAGTGCTGAAGAAAAATGCTTGGTGTATCATTGGCGGAATTTCGGACAAATGTCCATCCATACTTCATGAACTCGGCATTAAGCAGCGTCTATCAACACTGGTGTACTAGTTGCGTTCTAAATTAAGATCTTTGAACATGTCGCTAGGCGAAACCACAGTTCCATGGAACGCCTTGCGATACAAGGAAAACTGGAAGGTAACATCACGTGGCAGGTCTCATATGAGATGGACTAACCAAATCAAATCAGCAATTGGAGGCCCTAATAATGAATGCACCAGGCGGCAGGCACGCGGCAGTTGCCGGGAAATCGTAAGGCGAATTATATCTGGCCCCTCCCCCGATGCCTCATCGTGACAAGTGTGATGGCGGAACCACATTTTTGGTGTGTGGTGTGTTGCAGAGCCTTGTGTTATGTTACGCCATGTGATCACATTTCTGTGGTGTGTTGTGGTCTGATATGTCAAGCTATTTACTTAATTGCTATTTCAGATTCGCTGTCTTAACCTGGAAATATGTTTAGTTATTCCGATTCTGATAGCAACATAGAAGATGAAACAAATTTTTATAGCTTTGTAATTTTCTTACACAGAATAAAAAGCGACGATATTAGGTTTCTCCCCATAAATAAAATAAGGCAACCAGAGGGTGAATAGCACAGCCTAGTAACTAAAGAATTAAAACAAAATTTATTATGGATATAGTAAAACAAGTTCATTTGATACTTCGTAAGACCTTTTTAAATCGATAGTTCGCAGTCACGCTCGTAAATGCTATATTCACACTTTTGTGGTGTGTTGAATCGCGTGTTACCTCCAACCTACGTCTCTGAAGCAGACAAGTCGGGTGGATGGTAATGGCGAATAGAGAGGGAGTTCATGGCATTAAATTCCAATAAAGAAATGGATGCCTTTCTGCATCGTGGGTGCGGCGCTGTCGGAGTCACGGACAAAGACCAGGCCACACCATATTCGCGAAGGCAGCGGAGAGTCAGAGTGTGTCAATACCCGGCGAACCTTTTTTTTAACGCAGGCAAAACCTCTATTTACAGACCTTGGCGCCCTTGAGAGGCACACTAACGAACGGACATCACACCTTTTTTTTCGATGACGGGGAGAAAAAATGCATTATATCGACGACAATGACCAACGCCCCGTTAGTTTGCTGTCAACAAACTCGCGCGACGCAGGTAATTGCGTGGTGCATTCGGCAAGCGGCGAGCAGCCCGAGGGCCGCTAGTCAGTGCGGGTATACTTTGACGTGCACTCACGTAAGCGTAAGACCTCACACGTAGCCTCTCGCAAGTCTCACGGGTGCGAAACGGAGAATCCGCTAAGCAGTCCGTGCGACTTACGAGCGCCTGCGGCATACTATCCGCTAAAAACCCTGCGAATACCCTCTACGCTACGCTATAACACCATCCACTACCACTGCAAACACCATCTCTACGCTGATGACCTTCAGCTATATTTGTCATTTTCACCAGAGCAACATGCCGATGCTGTCACAAAAATTAATGAAGACTTAAAAAAAATATCAAACTGGTGCATCTCTAACTGCCTAATGCTAAATCCCACCAAGTCCAAGCTCATGCTATTTGGTACAAAAAAGAACCTGCAAAGTTTACTAATGGTGAAGTACCTTTAAACGTAAACATTCAAGGTGAAACCATTGAGCTCGTACATACAGCAAGAAGCCTGGGACTTATCCTCCAATTGAAATTCGAAGACCACATTATTGAGTGTGTCAGAAACTGTTTATATAAAGAATAAAGGTATTGTACAAAATTGGGCCATACATAAATGAGACTTTGGGTTAGGCTGTGCGAGTCACTTAAAAAGGCTGTGCGAGTCACTTGTTCTCTCCAAACTCAACTATTGCGATGTTGTATATGGTCCCTGTCTTCTGTCAAGGTCTGCTAAAATGATCCAGCGAGTATCTGTACTATGCATGCGCTCGTTATTGTTTTCACGTTCCACCACATTCACATATATCACCGTTCCTAGACAAAGCAAACTTATTAAAAATGGAATCACGTCGAAAACTTCATCTTGCAGCTATGTTGTTTGGTGTTATAAATACAAAGAAACCAAAATACCTGTATGACAAGCTGGTTTAGTTGCAAGAGCATCTCAAATATCAAAGACGTGTATGTACACACGTCGCACTGTGGCTTTTAGGGGTTCTTTTAAGTTTGCTGCCTCTCG